GAAGAGCTGGGGCTGGGCTTCATTAACTATTCCCTTGTGCCGTATCTGACCCGTATTGAACAGCGGATCAATACAGGGCTGGTCAGGGAGAGTAAACAGGGGAGATTTTACGCCAAATTTAATGCCGGAGCATTGTTACGTGGCGACATGAAATCCCGATTTGAAGCGTATGCCACGGGGATTAACTGGGGCATTTATTCCCCTAATGACTGCCGTGATCTGGAAGATATGAATCCCCGACCGGGCGGTGATGTGTATCTGACACCGATGAACATGACCACCAGTCCCTCTGCTGGCGATGACAACGGTAAGAAAAAGGAGAGTGGAGATGCAGACAAAACAGCGTCTTGATATACCGCTGAACCTGAAATCTGTCAGTGATTCCGGGGAATTTGAAGGTTACGGTTCTGTTTTTGGTGTTAAGGACAGCCACGATGATGTGGTGGTCCCCGGTGCCTTTACCACAACACTCCAGAAATGGAGCGAAAAAAAGGCGCTGCCTGCGTTGCTCTGGCAGCACCGTATGGATGAGCCCATCGGTGTGTACACCGAAATGAAAGAAGATGATGTCGGGCTTTATGTCAGGGGGCGATTACTCGTTGATGATGATCCCCTGGCAAAACGTGCACATGCCCATATGAAGGCCGGTTCTTTAACCGGCCTTTCTATTGGCTACATCCTGAAAGACTGGGAGTACGACCGGGAAAAAGGGGTATTCCTGCTGAAAGAGATCGACCTGTGGGAGGTCAGTCTGGTGACGTTTCCTTCCAATGATGAAGCACGCATCAGCGATGTGAAAAATGCGCTGGCGCGTGGGGAGATCCCCGATCAGAAAATTATTGAGCGAGTCCTGCGCGATGTTGGACTCTCGCGAACCCAGGCCAAAGCATTCATGGCCGGGGGATATGGCGCTTTATCCCTGCGTGATGCTGAGGATGTGGATGTCGCACTGAATGCACTGAAAAATCTTAAATTTTAACCAGGAGTAAATAATGGCTGTTGATATTAAAGACGTTGAACAGGTCGCGCAGGATTTGCAGCAGAAGTTTGACGATTTTAAGGCAAAAAACGACAAGCGCATTGACGCGATCGAACAGGAAAAAAGCAAGCTGGCCGAACAGGTGGAAAGCCTGAACGGGCAAATCAGCGAGCTGGAAAACCTGAAAAGCGATCTTGAGGCTGAGCTGGCTGAAGTCAAGCGTCCGGCAGGCGGCACGAAAAATAAAGTTGCCGGTGAACACAAAGAAGCGTTTATCGGATTTATGCGCAAGGGGCGTGAAGACGGTCTGCGTGAACTTGAACGTAAGGCGCTTCAGGTAGGTAATGATGAAGATGGTGGTTATGCCATTCCGGAAGAACTGGATCGTACCATCCTGACGCTGCTGAAAGATGAGGTGGTGATGCGCCAGGAAGCCACTGTGATCACCCTCGGTGGCTCGGATTATAAAAAACTGGTGAATCTGGGCGGCACTAAGTCCGGATGGGTGGGGGAAACGGATACGCGTCCGGAAACCGCCACCTCAAAACTGGGGCTGATTGAACCCTTTATGGGGGAAATCTACGGCAACCCGCAGGCCACCCAGAAAATGCTCGATGACGCTTTCTTCAATGTGGAAGACTGGATCAACAGTGAGCTGGCGCTGGAATTTGCCGAACAGGAAGAAATTGCCTTTACCAGTGGCGACGGCAGCAAAAAACCAAAAGGTTTTCTGGCTTATGAGTCCACCGATGAAGATGACAAAACCCGTAAGTTTGGCAAACTTCAGCATATCGCTTCCGGTGCGGCTTCTGGCGTGACCGCTGATGCGATCATTAAACTGATTTACACCCTGCGTAAGGCGCACCGCAGCGGCGCGAAGTTCATGATGAACAACAGCAGCCTGTTTGCCATTCGTCTGCTGAAGGATAACGACGGAAATTATCTGTGGCGTCCGGGTATTGAGCTGGGTCAGCCTTCTTCTCTGGCAGGGTATGGCATCGTTGAGAATGAGCAGATGCCGGATATTGCCGCCGATGCAAAAGCCATTGCGTTTGGTAACTTCAAACGTGGCTATACCATCGTTGATCGCATCGGTACCCGTATCCTGCGCGATCCGTACACCAACAAACCGTTTGTGGGTTTTTATACCACCAAGCGAACCGGCGGTATGCTGGTGGATTCTCAGGCGATTAAGCTGATGAAAATTGGGGCTGCAACCAGCAAGAAAGCTGCCGCGTAATGCGGTTTTTTGTGCCCGCCATTACGCGGGCACAGGAGGAAATATGCTCCTGAAAGAAGAGGAAATTAAGTCTCATCTCCGGCTCGATGATGGGTTGTATAGTGACGGCGATCTTCTGAAACTGCTGGCACAGGCGGTACAGAAAAGAACAGAGTCCTATCTGAACAGGAAGTTGTATGCACCGGATGAGACGATTCCGGAAGATGATCCTGACGGGATACATCTGACTGATGACATTCGTCTGGCCATGCTGATGCTGGTCAGTCATTTTTATGAAAATCGTTCAGCGAGTACCAATGTTGAGAAACTTGAAACGCCAGTGAGTTTCAGATGGCTCGCTGGTCCTTACAGGATTGTGCCTCTATGAAAATCAGGCAAAGTCAGACCAGTGCCACTTACCTTTTACCGGATCCCGGAGAACTGAATCGCCGGATAAAGATCCGCCTCCGTGTGGATGAACCCACCGCTGATTTTGATACGGAGCCGACGTATCCGGAGTCGTTTGATGTCTGGGCAAAGGTGGCCCAGCCAGGCGCTGCCGCTTATCAGGGCTCAGTGCAGACAGAAAATATCGTTACACATTATTTTACGATCCGTTTCCGTCACGACATCACGGCAGATCATGAGGTGGTTTATTACGGTCAGGAGTACCGGATCCGGCGAATACGCGACCTGAACGGTCAGCGGCGTTTTTTATTACTGGAATGTGAAGAACTGCGTACAGCGCGACGACGGGGTGAATGCCATGAATCAGACAGCATTTTTACACGTCGACTTTAAACAACCAAAGGAGCTGGAGTTTAATCGCGCCCGTCTTCGACGGGCGTTTGTGCAAATCGGGCGCGTTTACATGCGTGACGCCAGACGTCTGGTGATTAAACGCGGGCGTTCCTGCTCGGGAGAGAACCCGGGGTATCAGACCGGGCGTCTGGCCCGCTCCATTGGTTATTACGTTCCCAAAAAAACGACGCGTCGTCCCGGGCTGATGGTGAAAATTTCCCCTGACCAGAAAAACGGGCAGGGGAATCGCCGTTTTCCTGAAGGCGCTCCTTATTATCCGGCGTTTCTGTATTACGGCGTTCGCCATTCAGCGTATGGAATGGATAAAAAGGATAAGCGGCAGAAGAAGCACCATTCTTCGACTTTCCGGCTGGCCCCGCGTAATAACTTTATGGCTGACGTTATTGAGCGGCGGCGTCACTGGACGCAGGAACTGTTGTCCCGTGAGCTGCAGCGTTCGTTACGTCCGGTAAAAAGGAAGCATAAATGAAACTGACAACAATAATTGCGGCGTTGCGTGAGCGATGCCCGCGTTTTGATAATCGGGTTGGTGGCGCGGCGCAGTTTAAAGCGATCCCTGATGCCGGAAAATTGCGACTGCCTGCTGCCTATGTTGTCCCCTCTGACGATGCGCCTGGGGAGCAAAAATCACAGACCGATTACTGGCAGGATTTGACCGAAGGCTTTTCCGTGATTGTGGTGCTCAGCAATGAGCGTGATGAAAAGGGGCAGTGGGCAGCCTATGACGCCGTTCATGATGTCCGGAGAGAACTCTGGAAAGCCCTG